TTTCAACAGCACCGGCGGCCTCCCTGTGGTTCACTATAACAAATTCATCTCGGATGTCACCAGCTCTGCGCCTCTTCGGCCCGGCCAAGATAGATAGATAATATCAGTTGCCCACGAACCCACCACTCCGTCTCCAGGGAAGCTGTACGAGATTTGGACATTTGTCCCATTCCCGTGATTACCAACACTAGATCCTTCCCACAATTCCCCTCCGTATGATACAATCCCAATAAACACAAAGGCCTGAAAAACAAACGTGTCCCGATCCCACCAGGGAAAACCTCCAAATTAACTGACAAAAAGAGGGGGGGGGGATATCATCCTCTTGGAATTACAAAAAGAGGCGAATTCCTCTCAGAGAAAAAAAAAGGAAAAAAATAATTTTGATTAGGAAAATCCCTGTGGGAAGGTGAACAGCGAGTGACATCTGATGTCGGTGAATATAATATAAAGTCATTAGCTAGGCATGCACGATTGAGTAGCGACGACAGTCAAAATAATAATAATAATAATATGAATAGTTAAAAAATAAACACTTTTCCCCCCCTTCCCAATCCCCTCGGGTTGTCATTGTGTTATGCTTTACATTCCCAATTATCCATTGCTCCCCCACCTACAAATAATGAGACTCGACGGAGGTGAATTGAGTTAACTGAAGGGGCTAGGGGTGGCGACGGACGAGTTGTATGATAGTAGGAAGCTATGCGAGGAACGAGTCACGGAACATCAATCGGTTAAGCGAACATTTGAAGCATGTGGCCAAACAGCGATTAGGACACCTTTCCGGAATTACGTACGGCAATTGTTTTGCCTGCTGACTGGGTAAGCTAATTCTTGCGGGTACCTATTCGGCGGGTGATTCCCATGACGGAGCGACTTACCTGTCTAAGGGGGCATCCCCTTTATGATTACGATATATCCCCCTAACTATGTTAGAATATTTCCGGGCAGGATGGAATATATGTGTTTCGGACATGCTGAAGAGATTAGCCCTATCCTCACATCTCAGTTTCAAGATATTTGCTGATAGGGCAGCTCGAAAGCCCGGCTATGATATCATACCAAACCATCTCTGCTGCCGGCTCTCCTAACATCAGGGCGGGGAAACTGTATGAAGGAGATCTCAAATGCCCAGAAATTCCCGGGCGCCATACCTTATGCGAACGAATTGCGACCTATTTTCCCCTCTTCACTCGATTGTAGCTTCTATAGTTACTCTATAAACTTCCTGCGCTTCAGGGCACGGTAAATTTACCACAACACCTCTTCCAATCCAGTGTGGGTCCGTGCATACCCACCGAACTACCGCCAGATAGGTCCGACACGTTTCGCCAAACCGAATCAAGGGGCCCCCAACATAGCGCAATCCACTCCTCTCTCTCTCTCTCCCCGTTCTCGCATGCAGAGGCAGCGAAAATCTTCACAACCGCCCAACTTCTTCCACCAGACCCGAGGAGCCACGACAGCCCTCCGCATCATCCAAAAACAGCCCCTCCCCACAATCGGACGAACTTGGCTGCCCCAGAATTGGACAAGCATTACTGCTCAAGAAATTAGAAATAACTCTACTCGGTTTCCGCCGGGGTTGATCTGGGCCAGATGAATGCGGCCCGTATCCGGTGTCTTTCCAAGCGCATACATCAAGCGCCACGGGAGACACCGCCGCCGCCGTTCGAGGCCACAAGGGCCGTTGAACAGTACGCTCTCCGGCTGGGGAGTGTTGTGGGTTTGGATGGGAGGGGAGTTGGAGTGGGCTTTGGCGGGGTTGGGAAAGGGTGCTTACAATCCGGCTGGGCCCATGTTGGGTCAGTGGGGGCTAAGGCTCACGTGAGTTTCCTCCACCCATTCTGTCCAGATCCAAAGAGTCAAAATGCGGGCTCATGATGACGGTAGGGGGTAGCAGGAGCGCCTTCTCGGGGAGGGCGGGGGACACGTCGATGAAGCGATTAGATAATTTTCCGGGAACAAGGAGATCTCAGATAGGGCAGTCGGGGCGGTAGAAGCCTGAGAGCAAGGTGGAGAAGGTCAAGTGACCGAGGGTATCTGGTCGGGCTCCCGCTCCTCAGCTATCCACCATATCACGATACCACAAGTAATTTCCCATGCGCGGAACCACATGGGGGTGCGAGCATATGTAACTCTGTGTCTTGTATCATGAAAATAGGCATAGTCAAAACCACATCCAATGTGACTGTGTTTTTAATCCAAACCAAACCAACCCAATACGATACAGGAAAAGACTGAGTTGAATTATATGAGCTGGTTCATAATTACAGAGGCGGAAAACCCAATGCTTCTAGGTAGTAGGAGTAAGTGGGGATGGCTACCTGCTATACCCAATTATAAAGTTATTACACTTAGAAAAAAATAATTCGTTAATACTAGTATTATTCCAGTCAGATGATATTGTTGATATTCATGTTTAAACCGGTTACATTGTTGTTATTTGATTCTACACTACTGCCACGAACAGAGAGGGGATAACGCCGCCGAATGGACAATGTTGTCTCCCCGCCCGCAGTGCATGCGTGATCGAGCGAGTACATGACACGTATTACCTCATCAACCCCCCGCAGCCCTGAACACAACGAGAAACAAATAAACAGAAAAAACTACAATCAACACGCCAGTGGGCTGTGGAATAAGGGAAGAAAAAAATAATAATAAAAAAAGACACCAGTAATCTACAAAATCTAACACAAAATAAATCCTTGCCACAATTATAATTCCCTGGACAGAATACCCCTTCCCTCCATCACAACCCCTCACTCGTTATCGCTTCCCACACCCAAATATCCTCCAAAAACCCCTCCCCGACCGTCCACCGGGTGCCTTGGCCTGCTTCTCCCCGGGCACGGGCCCGGTACCCCATTCGAATTTTGTATTAACGGGTGGTTTGGAGCCGCCCCCTATTTCTGTTATTGCATCAGGGTCTTCTTGACCCTCGTCCCCGGCCTTCTCCTTGCCCTTGTCCTTGGAGTCGGTAGTTGTGCCCGGGGGCTTGGCGATGGGGGGTTTCGGAGCCACGGGGACCTCTTGGATTACATCTGTGGAAGATTGAGAGGCGGGGGAGGGGGTTTCCGGGACCACGTCTTTGGGTAGCGGGGGATTTGGGGAGGGAGGGGTAGTTGTGTTTGTGCTGGCGCTGGCGGAGGTTCCGGTGGAAGTGGTGGAGGTTTCGGGGGATGAGGTGGAGGTTTCAGGGGATGCAGTGGAGGTTTCGGGGGGTGCGGAGGGTCCGACGGAGCTGATTGACAGGCGGTGATCAGAAACGATTTCCGGGAGGACTGGGGGTCCACTTGTGGCATTTGCGGCCTGGGGGGATGGCCGCGCCCTCCTTGCTTTCTTTTTCCCTTTCGCCATTACCCCGCTATTATCGTCTTGATCGCTGCTGTTGTAAGTGGCCTGCGGGTTTCGAGAGCCGTGTGGGTGGAAAATCCCTGAACTGGACAAGGGAGGTGGGGCGGGAAGCGAGGGGTTCTTATACGGTCTTTTATTTCACCTATCATACCCGCGTGAGATGGGTCCTGCACGTTCCGACCGACTGGCTAACCTGTATTGGGGTCTAGTGTGGGGCGAGGGAGATGCAGATATCCATGAGAGAGGAGAGTGATGTGTTTTTTTTTTTTCTGTGCACCAGATGCGCTCATGGGTGACTGCTTCCGTTTCCGGGTTTGGATGGGTTTAGTGGTAATAACTTTGTAATGGTGTCTTTTTTTTCCCTTTTTTCCTCCTCGCCCAAGAGGCCACCCTTTTGGGTCTGGGTGCCTGGGGTGGTGTCACTGGACAGTGGGCCTGGTTCGTGAGTGGTACGATGTTTACCGCAGAAGCTTCGAGGAGGAATTCAAGTAGATCAATCGTGTCTCGTTTCCATTTTATTTTTAGTTCCCATTGTTATCTCCTCCACTCTTGTCCTCGTTTTCTCGGTCGCGATTGGAGGCCGGTGGGGGAGAGAGGGGAAACCCTACTATACTATAGGTTAGATATGATGCAGTATAATATGATAATAGTATTGAGCCTTGGCGAATGATGCTTCTAAAATCCTCTATTGCGGATCTTAGCGAGGGAGGGTGCCCATCTGCTGGTACCCTCCGGAAATCCTGGACCTGGAAACATTGCATCCGTTTGACTACCTTCTCGATAGATGCAAGCTGAGTTCGCGAGAGACTATGGCCCACCGCTCGTACTCGAGATATACGGGTGTGCCCGATTACTCCCCTTCTAGGTACGGTATTGCTATCATAGCTTGAGAACAAGAGCAGTAGTAACACCCAAGCCAGTCGACATCAGACTGAACTAATTGCATGTGTGCAGATCTTCCCACGCGAGATGCACACTTGCCCCAAAATATACTGGATTCAGTTCTCGTAATCTCGAGTGAGCTTACCCTAGTGACCTACCGGTATGCTACGGTACCGTACTCGAGTACCCACAAAAAATAATCTCTCCTCCCCCCCACCCTTCCGGCCCTCACCCACCTCTCCAGGGTTCCAGGGTTCAAAACACTCCCGGCACGCCACACCGCCTTTCATCACTCTCCATCCCCGTGACATAGGCAGCGATAGACTTTCTCCCTAACGATCTTGGCGTGCTCTTTAGATGGGGTGGCCCCCGTTATCACTGTTGTATATTACGTCTACAGTACCGTACGAGGGTGGAGGAATAGAGGGCAAGCTCAAAGGCAAGGGGAGTTGTTTTTCCGTTTCAATCGATAATACTTACAAGAGATTGAAGGCATGCGGGGACGATGAGGGGTCGAGGGCAGCGTTACTTGCATGAGCAGTGAAGGTTTGATGCGGGATATCGGATGGAAGGGGGTGAAGGGAAGTGAAGGGAAGTCAATGATGGTTGCACAAACAGTACCGTACTGTACCTTAAAATCCTGTGGTACAGTAGGCTGTACAGTACGGTACCGCGCAGGGTCTTAAATTTATTGCCGGTGAACTTTACCGGGGAAACATCGCTCAACGCCACCCCCAAAGCTTTGTCAGCCATGACCCCGATAGGAACACTGGGTCTATCAGACAATCGAATGAGTGATCCCTTACGTATGGATAGCGAGAAAACGGGATTATACTTAGTCCCCACGGATACGTTGGGGTCTAGAAGTATGAATAGTCGAAACCCCTGTAGGGGAGCGCAAATTATTAATTCTCTCAACGAATGACATGTTACCGTGCTCAAACTCTTGAGTTGAATACTAAGTTACCTCCTATCATAGTGCTATACAGACGAAGAACAACTCCTTGAAAACACCCATTATCATCGCTACCATCACCATTTCCACGGACAAAAATAACCCCCCCCCCCGATGATATGATAAGACGTATGATACCCCCGTTTTTTCCTCAGGAAATCACACACCATTTCCTACCCGGCGGGTACTCCCCATCCCCGCCCGAGCACCTACACCACTGCTCCTTCGGAACCCGTTCCATAACTTGAGGAATGTGGGATCCGCACCCGACCCAGGTAGTCCCCGCTATGTTGTCGTACCGCGGACCATCTTAGCAAACGAACGATCAAATGAATTGCTCCCCTCACCACCGCCGCCTTCTCGGGTAAAGCTAACTGACTTACAGCACGTGGAGCATGTTATTTTGTGACACATGTTTGTCTCCGTATTTCGTTTCGTTCTTCCTTCCCGTAGATTTGTCGAACTGGCGACGCAATTCGGTGAGGAATAAAATAATGGGAAGTAACGAGGGGTTTAAATAACGGTTACGGTTCGGGGTGGTACGGTATGGTGCTGGCTCGCCGGTGGGTACCATATACTCAATTTAGCGAGGCGATGCGATATTGCTTGGTCATCGGGACGGCGAGGTCGGGAACCGATGGAACGGTTTTTGGCACGCGATAAGGCAGTCTAGCGGGGATCTTCCGGTGGCCTTTGCGGGAATCAACAGTGCTTATCGACCAAGGTATTAATTATACGGCAGGGCGTTCCGTCCGCCCGCGGTGGTTTGACACTTACGAACACAACCGCCATTGCGTACCGCCGAACTTGGACCCATCAGCTCGGCCTTGGAGGGTATGCCATGCCATATGATAGCAGTTTTGTTCATAGGTCCCACCCCAAAACCAGCGGAGTACTGTACTGTACTGTACAGAAACGCAATATGATGACCTGCCGGTAAATTCCTCACGATGAAACCGTTTTTGGGGTGGGGGATCTAGGCCGTGGGAAGACCGCGGCTGGCGGCTCCGGACCCCATTATCTTTAGCTGATCCGGACTAGATACCGTGCCGTGAGGTTAAACCTGAGGGCTCGTGACGGGTTTGGCGACCCACTCCGGAGGCAAGGCCCATCCATGTATGGTCCCCTTAGAGCTGGACTCGGATATTGTAGAAAAGGTCGGTGGGGAAAGGAAAAAGATCACCGAGATCCTGTGGGTATTGGGCAAATACGGTGGTCAATACCTGTGGGGGGAAAAAACAAAAAAGGCCTTGTATAGTACTTGTACTCGTAGATACGAACAACCCGGAGTGGACACCACCGATAGATAGGCATAATGTCTCCCTAGCAAGTACTCGAGTACCGGTACAATACAACCCTGTGTTTCTTTCTGCGAATATTATCAATCAAACATTGTCCCTATGATTCCCTCCCCTCGGGCGCTACAATATTTCCCCTCTTCTCTATTATACCTCACCCGAGCCTACAGTCTATCTAAAAAGTCACAATCCCAACCGAACATTAAGTAAAGGAGGCCCCCTGGGGAGACGGGAAAAGCCTAAATTATTAGACCCCGGCAGGGCTACTGTACAGTACAGTACAAAGCTTTGACCACCGTCTCTAGTCCCCCCCGCCATCTCCCAAACTACCAATACTCTCACCAGACCTCGTACATTCCATACCGGCATGACACCCGAACCGCACCCCACACAAGTGCCACAACCCACAATCCCGTAACCCCCTTCTGCCGATACCTACCAGTATTTATGCCAACAGTTGAAACCACCGTTGCGGAACCCCCACTGCCGGCTAGGAGCCGAGATGCAGTGAGTGCCATACCGCCGGCTCCCGCCCTAACTGGCGACCGAACATCATATCCGTTGCTGGACGGTGTTCGCAGCCGCGGCTGCTTGCTGCGTGGCACCATGATCTAGGCAGCGTGGGGTGCCAGATTCTGGCGGTACGCGGTAGCAGTTGGGTTCACGAAACCTCGCTCAATTACCTTGCCCTCGTGATCAATTTGCCCGAGCGAGCAAGCACCGTACTGTAGTGCACAGTGCCAGGCGGGATGATCCCAACATTTACTTGACTTTGTAGGTTTGCATTGCCCGACTCGACTTACCGGTACGTGGGGGTTATCAATAGCACCTGTATTGATAGAGGCGGGCTGTTCACTGACCAAGAGCCCATCAAACTCTCGAGATATAACACTATCCCACTCGTTAAACTCGGTCCATCCAGCAGGTCACGCGGTGGACAATTCTCTAACAACATCCCAAACCGCCTCTTCTTGGGATTGTGCTCGAGAGGAATAGCTGCGAAAGTCATAACCCTAGTGAAAGGTGCAAGGGGATGGGCATTTAACTTAGACTAGGGCCCTCAATTCCTACCTGTATCATATGCCCGTCTTGAAGCTTTCAAGTTATACCTCTATCATACCACGTGAGATCAAGGAAACCGTGTGGCCAAGCTTTTCTTTGCCTTATCATTAACTAGACAGTGATCAAGGAAGTCTGCCGCGAAACCATTTTCTCAAGAAACTGCGCGGAATACCGGTAGTCTACGGTACAAGTACTTGAGATCAACGCTGTGGCCTCAGAAAGCTTACATAATACGATACCGACAAATACCCTAGCAGATCTTGGCAGCTTGGGAGAAACAACCTCGAAAAGCAACCTCACAGGAATAAGTTAATTCTTTTCTTCACCACCCCCCTCTTATGATACTTTACCAAACCAAACCAAACCCGAGAGAGGCCAAAACCGGACGGGAGTGAGCGCAATCCGAAAGCGACTGCTATCTAGCTACGATATAATACGCCTCGCTAAAGCCGCGCTTCTGCTCGGAAACCCCTTTCGAAAATCCACAACGTCAACTCACCGGTATGATACGCGCTAACTTAGCTCTCGGATGACCCCCGCTTTAGCACCTATGCACAGTACTGGCACCCTACCTCCTATCGTTCAAGTGCGATATTCCAATTTCACCACGGCTTCCGAGGTGGTAATGTCGACTTTACGAGTACTGGTATTGGCCTAGTCAATTCCGCTGTAGTTACTAGCTCCGCCACCTCCTCCTCCTCCTCCTCCTCCATATCACCGCGCTTAATGTTTTGGTAGTGGATCTGTTTGGATTGTACCGCTCCATACCTGCATGAGTATTATCCGCTGGGCTCTTAAGGTTGGGAAACTCCTACTGTAGTTGTGAGGTCCCTCCAAGCCCACGCGCTCGCAGGGGCTGGGATATATCGTCGGTGTGATTATATCGTTGGGGGGTGCTTCATTGATGATGGACTGGGGATGGAGGTTGGGCGCGGTGTGTGTTCGTCTGTCTGTTTCCGGCGGTGGAGGTGACGGATGGTAGGCCTGCACTTGGGTGTGTGCTGCCTAACCTATTCTTGGAACACGTGGTATATATACTGTTCCGCTAGTAAACAAACATCGTGGAGGATAGATAGCCACCTGCGTAACTAGGGGGGTATATGTAGTACTGTAGAGGGGGGGGTTTCAAAAGAGGATTTTTGACACCAATGTCTGCCGTTACTATACTTGGGGGTGAGTACGAAAGGCGAGTATTTGAGTCTTTGTATTACGGGGGTACAATATACTCGCTAGGGGCCAAGATAGGACGCCCCGGTAACGGGGTAGAGGTGCATGCGCTTCACAGTTTCATCCACCCTGTCCGTTCAGATATCATCCCATTAACCGTTTCCAAGGCCCATGTTGGTCTCACCGCTTAACCAAGAGATGGATATCTGCTCAATTAATCATCTCCGATCCAGCCTACTGTTCCATTCCATCTACTCTGCCCCAATTTTCCCCTATCAAGTAACTGAGAAATGCCAAAGGCGAAAGATCAATTCTGGCCCTAATAATAGCCACCTTTCTCCCATACCCCTTCAACACCCTCTAATCCCCAAACTCCCCAGCCCTCAGCTCCCTCTCCAAGAAATCCCGGACGAAAATTCGTTCCAACGCTCCACCTGGACAAACTCTAAAGACAAAGGGTCTAGCACGATATCCTCCAGCTAGCATCCCCACCGTCTTCAATCTCGGTATCTGCTGTAGAACTACCTGCGCGAACTCACGAGCTTCGGATTCACTGAAGAGCACTCGCACGTGAATGTAGAGCGTCGATAGGCTACTCTGTGCATGGGCTACTGCTGGCTGATAGAAATTCTAGTTTATCGTTAGCCGGGTGCCAAAGCACGGGGGGAAGGGGTGGGAAATAGGGAGTATTGATACAAAACTAAAGCTCGCCACGCAACAGCAGAGTTTCACCAACGCTCGACACTTCCCGGTAAGGATCTCCATTCCGGTCTCATCAATGACCTTCCACTGCTCGGGCGATAGGATAGCCAATCTCTGGAGCGTAGTTCCGTGATGGGTGGCAATTGTTTCGAGGAGGTTCCTTGAAATCTTGATGGAGGAGACTTGCCGACGGTTGCCGCCCGGTGCCTCCCAGTCCGCCGAGTCACACCCCAGTTCGTAGCGGAGATCTTGCAGGCCGCGGAAGCATTGCAGGAAGCTCGCCAGGGCAGATTGAGTTGCTCTTATTCCTAATGTCCGAAGGTTTGGGAACACTCCACCTGCTTCCTCAGAAGCCCGCTCCGCGCTCGCACTCGGCCCATGCCCCCCGGGAGGGGTGATCGCGGACAGGAGGAGTTCCGCACCGGGACAGGAGATAATTTCCAAGCGTCGGAGGTTGTTGAAGTTGATTGCCTGAGTGAACACCTTCAAACGTTTTGCCGTGAACGGTCGCTCTGCCAAGGTTAGGGAATCAAGTCTTTCCAAGCGCGTGACTTCCGCCCCTGCTGGGGACTCTTTAAAAACGCTCTCGTGACTACCCTCACAGCCGCCGAAAATCAGGCTTTCATCCTCAAAATGTGGTTGATCGCCCCGTTTGGTAATCAGAGTAAGCGACTTCAGTGTTCCGGAGGAGGTCTTGAGGATCTTGCGGATGATGTCATAATCTGCCGTAGATGCAACTGGACGATGGGCTAGTGAGGCGAAGCCTGAGTCGAGAATGAAGGTCGCAGAGTGGAGGGGGCGGAGGTGTAGCAGCGGAACATCAGTCTCAAGGATATTGGAAAGCGAAAGTGAATGCAGTCGTGGCTTGCGGGCTAGGCTGGAAGAGATCCGATGAGAGCGACGAAGCGCCTTGCGGTTAGAGGTGGTCCAGCTAATCCAATACAACCACAGTCAGTCGGTTATTAACAAAGAGGTCATAAGGCGGAGGGTACGGGTAGCGAAGCGAGGGGAAGTACGCGAAGGATTCCAGGTCAGACATATTCTCTATCGCACTCTCAACGATCTCCCTTGCAATCTCTGCATCGCCCACCACATTATCCACCAGAGGAGCAATCTCAAACTCCCGGACAAACTTCCCACAATCACTTAGGTCCCTATCGAACCCGGACCCCTTCCCACTCCTGCACGCCCGCCCATCCTTATCCCTAGCAGAGAGCAGCAATAGTCGCTCCTGCTGCTGCGAGGTGAGCACAGCGTGCAATGGGGTAGCAATATCTCCGGAAGTTCTATGCGGGATCTTCAATCTTCTGTAGAGGAAGCGAATGGCAATGGTATAAAAGAACCTCGAGACCAAGCATAGCGAGTAGAAATCCGCATGGTCCCGGAGCTGTGATCCACCGCCGATAATGGCCTGCCTGTCAGCAACAACAAACCCGTACGCCCAAACCAGCCCCAGCGACAACCAAAAGGGGAGGATCAACATTGCCAAAAATAATATACAGCAACTCGGATGGTAGCACGGGTATAGACATATTCGCCATGATTCCGACGTTGACGATACACTGGCAACGTAAAGGTGTTGAACCTCTACGCCGTGTGAATGTTGAATGTGTGTTGATTTTTAAGAGGATGTGGTTTCCTCGCCGCGAGGAATGTGGGAGATCGCGCGTGTGGATCTCTTTATTAACTACGGTACAAGTAGGCAACCCACCGTAATCTTCTCTCTTCCAGACGAGAACGGTGCCCTGCCAGCACAAGCTCGCTCTCCATCAAACCAACAAACCCGCAAGCCACGATGCCGCAGATCGCGTAGGAAATAGCCCTCCACGATGCATGACACCCACAAATTCGCCCGGCCAGTCAGCCCACCCCCAGTCCTCCATCGAGTCTACCCCGCAAGCAACACCCGGGCAATCCGTTCGTTCCTACCAAACAAACCGCTCCAGCAGAACGCCCCACCTCAGCGTCAGCTTCTTATCTGGGGGGTTTCCGAGGGGAAAGGGAAGTTATCTTACGGTGACACGGGTAGTTTGTTTTCGCATATCCGGGGTGTTCCCAGAGAGTGGCGATCCCATCGAGCACGTGAGCTTAACGCCGATGCCACCAATTCCTAAACGGGGATCGACCGATGGTCTGTTGCGGCGGCCAGGGAATCCACAGGGTGCATTGTATAGATGATCTGATAAGATTTCCGGGCCACATCAAGCGAGGCGGAAGGTCGGTCGGAGCAGGGAAACAAAGCCATTGTGTTACGCCCTTTTCTCCAAATATTCGAATCCCCGTCCAGAACACAATCACTGGAAGGCCTGGAATATCGTACCGGCGAATGAAAGATCCAGCTCACCTTTGCGACAGGACTTCGCCGGCCGAAAGCCCCCCCCCCTACCCAAACCGACCGCGAACCCCGCTCGTTTGCCCAAGGGAACCGCCGACGGTACTGTACCCGCGCCGTAGCCTTACTGTACCACGGGTGCTGATCCTTTGAACCTCACCCGCCGCACTCGGCGGTCATTTGCTAACTTGATAAAAAATACAAGCACGGGAATCCGCTAAGAATATTTTATCCCCCCCTCTTTCACAGAGAGTGCCGGTGCCCGCCCAAACAAGATAAGGGGATAAAATGTTGGCAGGCCCGTGGATGCCTCCCACACCGGTAGACCGGTACACCACCCAACCGCCGAGCGGATACCCCAGCGGATGCCAGACGCGGGTCTAGGGGTTCATTTTACCTGCCCATGTCCCTGCAGTTGGGCTACTATGCTATGGTATATCATCCTAAAGGTATACCACTTTTGATTGAAGCTGTCATGTTTTCGAGTTTCCTCACGGTTTTATTTGGTTGATGGTCCAGTTTGGTGCATGGGACGAACGGATCCGATTCAAGTTAATTGCCATCATAATCCCTCATTATTTGATTGGAGCTCCGTCGGGTTATACGGAATCACCCGGAGGGTTAAGTACAAACAATTCCACAATAAACCGTGACATTCCCCTTCACCAGCTGCAGCCTAGGATTCCCCTGAAATACACCAGAATCAGCGGAATCCGACTTCAACCAAAACCGCAGCGCCCCAAGAACCCCAACACTAATTATATCCATAATCCAGCTTTGGGCAGCCAGGAACTGGACAATTTTGTGTATATCCCTTTTGCTGCATTTAATTGTGAATTGGCGCCTGCACAAGGAAGAAGAACTCGAGGTGTCAGTGTGGTTTGCCAAGCCTCGCAATTTGTACGGGCCTATGAAAAAAGGTACTTGTTTTCCGTGAAGTTTGGGTTTTTCGCAGCCCAACCAAGGCAAGATAGCGGTACCTTGTAGTCTACTCGTACTAAGACGTGGCTTCAAAAGTACCCTACTCATTCTCGCTGTAGGGGCAAGTGACAACGGCCTCTGTCAGGGCGCTGTATTAGAAACCAAGGAAGTTCCTTCTCCGCCGACGCGCGTTCCACCGAGCGGGCATTTTGTCCTCCCGGCTTTGCACTGACCGGCGTCCTATGATACCTGTTTTTCCGTTTTGTTTTTACCTCTCCCGATTCTACAAATTTCTCCGGAATTGGCTCCATTTTGGCATCTATATGAGCATCCCCACGTTTGGAGCTTACCACATAGGTTGGATTCCACCTATTTTTACTAGATTTCTGCCCCAAGTGCATGCTATCCTAAGGTGCATTGCAATATTGTATATTTTTCTCCGTGCCTGGAATCTCTCGCGCCTGTCGCGTGTGAAAGGACCCCTACTGTACTAGTACGCTACTGTGGGTGCAGAAAAGTTTGAATGGCGCAGTACGGTGCAGTACTGCAAAAGACTCCTTGCGGTAAGGTTTCGAGGGATCCATATGTACAATACCGTACAGTGCATCCCGGGGGCCTGACGGTGGTGCCACCAAAGCTGTTCATCCAATTGGTCGTAATATATGCCCAGGTCACCTAAGATCCGACAGTGTGATACTGTGAAATTAAATTTAATATAGTTAATTTACTGTAGGCTTACTAGAAGCGGTCAATAGGTCTGGCAGTAGCTATAAAGAATGAAGAATAAAAAGGCCCCCTATGGTGCATCGCAATATTTTATAACATTAAATATATATATAAATAACTTTCCCCAAAAATGATCGGTCTTTGGAAGGCAAATATCCGTAGCATTTCAGGGCTCAGAAACTTCTGTTAGTGTTAAAACATGTAGTCTTAATCTTTTGGAATACTCTTGGTCCTTTATATGTAACCACTTTCTAAGGCCACCCTATTGTTGAATTTGCCTCGATACAACTGGAAATAAACTCCATATAAGAAGATAAAGTCCCTTGAAAAAGGATGCTGTTTCAATGCGAGAGCTGAAAATGCCCCCGCTCAATTGTCTTTACATGGAGATGTAAAGGCCATAAAAGTGGGAATAACGTACCCGATGGCATAGCGAAAAATATGGTACAACGAAAAATTGTTGAAAAACAGCGAAAACTGGCTACTGGGTAGGTGGAAGAGGTAGATTCAAACTTGATTTCACATAATTCTGGTAGTAATAGCTCTTCCTAACTGCTTGTTATTTGCTTGATTTGGGTTTTCATTTTCCTAAACCGCTCTGTTGGTATCGCATGTCGGGATTTTTCGCTGTACTGTACCATATTTTTCGCTATACCATCGGGTACGTTATGTCACTTTTCCCGCCGGCAAAGCAGGGTGGCTAAGATAGATAGAGGATGCGTGGAGAGGATATGGGAAGGTAAGCGGAAAAAGAAAAAAAAATAGAAGAAAAAAAGAAGACCAAGGGAAATAACTTGCTGACAGCGGAATGTAGGAAGGAGAGGTTAGGATAAGCATTCTGACTACGGGCTGTCTTCTAATGTATGCACTACAGGGATGGGTCGCCCGGGACTTTTTTTCACAAGAAAAATAAAACAGAACAAAGGGGGATCAAGTACTGTACCGCGCGTGGCTGGTGATCAAAACTGTGGCACATGGCCAATTTATTCTTGCGGCCTGATATCTAGTGGGTTTGTAGCTCTTCCGGCGACTAATCCCGCATATGGCGCAGCAGTAGGGTGGGAGGAACCACTTTGGGGCAATAGCAGAAGTGCTCTCGTAGGCCCCCTCATCCCTCGACGTCCTTCCTAAACTAAACTAGGACTAAAAGCCGTGGTATACACCGGTATAAACATAGCAATTCACGCCGATGCCTCAATCAGTCTCCGCCGCGCGCATATCGGTAGCCCCATTCATGTCCCGACCCCCGGGCAGGTTCCAGTGGCAACAAGGGAAATACATGCATGTCTGGAGAATCCTGTTCGTAGATCAGTATAGTTCCGGAATACTTCTCTACGCTCTTGAATTACCGGTATCTGGCAGACTCCCGCGGCCTCATCAATCAACTGCAGTACGGTAGTCTGGCTTCTGCTGGCGAGCACTAACAGTAGCACAAGTTTTGGGGCCAACGCCCACAAAAAGCGGGCAGCTAGAATCACCCACTTCGCTTGCCTAACTTCTGCTCTGATTTTCGCACCCGTCGCTTTTGACTACTTTTTTTCATTCTGCCTTAAACCGAGTTTTGAGGGAGAACAATGTCTTCGTTTTTTTCACTCCTACGAACCAAGACTGCATTACTATGTTTTCCCGTATAATCACCGGATGGCATATGCCCGCATACACAACAACTGTATGTCCCCCGATCAACCGCATGGCGTATAGGCAGTCCAATAGTGATAGTATCATACATCACAGTCGCACTGAACGTCGTTGCTGATCGCAATGATAGAAAAGTGGCCCCGCTTCTTTCCTCTTTGAAGATTATATATGGATCGAAGTTCTCCCCTCGGTATTCCAGAGGGTGGGGAGCATGGTAGAAGGGGACCAAAGAAGGGCAAAATAGACTTTTATTTTTGCTTCAACAGAATTGACCAGAATATGCCCTTTTTTATTGATAGTTCTTCCGTATTGAGACCTCCTACCTACCTATCCGGTGCGAGCTGGGATGAAACCCCTTCTTACCCAAACCCTGAAAGGGAAGGCGGTAGTCCCCACAGCCTACCGAACACATGTCCCGCCACCCGAGAATTCCTAACCCCACCCTGAAACCCGGTGGGAGAGAGGGCCAGGGGAGCAGCCATACCCATCAATGCGATATCACCGCCGAATTCGTAGCGACGAGCACATATCCCCTTAAGTCAAAGCGGTATTTCCTCGCCATTTTCTCTTGCTCAACCATCCTTACTATGATAAAATCTAGAGGGACACTATCAAGGGAATTGCGGACAAAGGTATATTGAGAAAGCTTGATGTCCCTACTTAGAGCGCTGGTATCTCCTTATGGAAGTGCTCCCTTTATCTCTAGTCAAAAGTTTGTCCAACACTGCGAGTGGATAACAGTCAGCCCTTCTAGACTATGTGACTCCAGAGAAGGAATAATGAGGGGTTTAGTTTTTCAGAATCGGTGTATCGCTCAAAGTGTGCATAGGGTTGACAAACTCACCCTTCTCGCCTTGTCGCACCATATCTGAGGAAACAGAGATACGAGTGATTGATCATGATTGTCTGTAGTTTTTGTGACTTGTATGTTAGAGGGCAAAGAAGGGCCGCGGGACGGTGTAGATTACTTCGAAAGCGACGAGGGCATGGCATATTTCTCTATAACTCCAGCGATTTATGGGGAAAGTTCTCCAGACATGCCCCCCCCCCCCCCCTCCTAGCTATTATCGGTGTGTACGGGGATGATCCGGCACATTTGCTTGGACAAAGGGAAAAAGAAATTTGTGTGGCATCCTATTGAAGGATCAGAGTGGGTTTTTATTCCATTTTACTTGTACTCTTACCCTGACCACTAGTTTTGTAAGGAACCGGGAGAGGGACAAACTGATAACCAAGTTTCTGACCATGCCCCTTTTCGCATAACTCCCAACGCTCTGAACTATCCCTCGCCTTGACAATGTATACACCGACATGGATTCAGCTGAAGGTGAGTAGTGTATGCACCATCAACCTCTACGCCTACATATCTATACTAGCACAGCGCATTAACTCATAACTATTTCTTAAAGGGGCAGGAGTTAAAAGAAGGTTGGGCTCAGGACTCAGCGCCATCTGAATCG